GTGCTCTCCTCAAACTGAAGCAAGTGGCAGTCCGTTGGACCTGTGTTCAGATAGATCAGATCAATAGAAGCTCCGAGCCGACTTCTGCCGTCGTCCGGTTTTGCTTTTGTTTCTTAGCAGTCCAGCAAACCTGTTGTCGGGCGGGGGGGTTCTTTTTTTTAAAAGGTGTGGCTCGGACGCTTTTTTTTTAAAGGTGTGGCTCAGCTTGGCTTCGCAAATACTGTAAAAAGCAGCACTTCTGCGTTTAGAGAGGCTGCAAATACTGTAAATAGCAGCATTTCTGCGTTGTCAGAGGCTTCAAATATTTCAAATGGCAGCATTTCTGCGTTGTCAGAGGCTTCAAATACTGTAAATAGCAGCATTTCTGCGTTGTCAGAGGCTGCAAATACTGTAAATAGCAGCATTTCTGCGTTGTCAGAGGCTGCAAATTCTGCACCAATACTATAAATAGCAGCATTTCTGCGTTGTCCGAGGCTTCAAATACTGTAAATAGCAGCATTTCTGCGTTGTCAGAAGCTTCCAAGACTGTAAATAGCAGCATTTCTGTGTTGTCAGCGGCTTCCAATACTGTAAATAGCAGCATTTCTGCGTCAGAGGCTTCAAGTACTGCAAATAGCAGAGTTTCTGCGTTGCGTTGGCTGCAAATACTGTACGTAGCAGCATTTCTGACATCAAATGTATATAGCAGCATTTCTGGGTTTTTCAGACGCTGCAACGAAGGGCATAAATCGCAGCATTACTGTGTTTTCAGAGGCTTCAGATACTGTAAATGGCAGCATTTCTGCGTTGTCAGACACTGCAAATACTGTAAATAGCAGCATTTCTGTGTTTTCAGAGGTTGGATATAAATCATATGCTCTTATATAAACATGTAAAGATAAATAAATAATATATATACATATATATATATATACAGTTATTTGTTGATTTATATTTATTATTTCAAAATTGTATACGATAATATGCTATTTAGTATTGTATATATATATATAGATATATAATACACTATCTATCTATATATATATATGTATATGTATATGTATATGTAAATGCAAATGTAAATGTAAATGTAAATGTATATGTAAAAGCGGGGGGTTGGGGGGGGCGCAGCCCCCCCCCCCATTTGCAAACTCAATGCTTGCATGTAGGTTTCAAGATTCATATGCTTTGAAGCAAGCTTGCACGGCTTAAAAAAGCAGGGGGGTTGGGGGGGGCACAGCCCCCCCCCCATTTGCAAACTCAATGCTTGCATGATGGGTTTCAAAAAGATTCATATGCTTTGAAACAAGCTTGCACGGCTTAAAAAAGCGGGGGGGTTGGGGGGGGCACAGCCCCCCCCATTTGCAAACTCAATGCTTGCATGATGGGTTTCAAAAAGATTCATATGCTTTGAAGCAAGCTTGCACGGCTTAAAAAAGCGGGGGGGTTGGGGGGGGCGCAGCCCCCCCCCATTTGCAAACTCAATGCTTGCATGATGGGTTTCAAAAAGATTCATATGCTTTGAAGCAAGCTTGCACGGCTTAAAAAAGCGGGGGGGTTGGGGGGGGCGCAGCCCCCATTTGCAAACTCAATGCTTGCATGTAGGTTTCAAGCTTGCGTAAAAAAGCGGGGGGGTTGGGGGGGGGCGCAGCCCCCCCCATTTGCAAACTCAATGCTTGCATGTAGGTTTCAAGATTCATATGCTTTGAAGCAAGCTTGCACGGCTAAAAAAAGCGGGGGGGTTGGGCGGGGGGGGGGGGCTCAACCCCCCCCCATTTGCAAACTCAAAGCTGCATGATGGGTTTCAAGATTCATATGCTTGAAGCAAGCTTGCACGGTAAAAACGGGGGGGGTTGGGGGGCGCAGCCCCCCCCATTTGCAAACTCAATGCTTGCATGATGGGTTTCAAAAAGATTCATATGCTTTGAAGCAAGCTTGCACGGCTAAAAAAAAGCGGGGGGGTTGGGGGGGGCGCAGCCCCCCCCATTTGCAAACTCAATGCTTGCATGATGGGTTTCAAAAAGATTCATATGCTTTAAAACAAGCTTGCACGGCTTAAAAAAGTGGGGGGGTTGGGGGGGGCGCAGCCCCCCCCATTTGCAAACTCAATGCTTGCATGTAGGTTTCAAGATTCATATGCTTTGAAGCAAGCTTGCACGGCTTAAAAAAAGCGGGGGGGTTGGGGGGGGCGCAGCCCCCCCCATTTGCAAACTCAATGCTTGCATGTAGGTTTCAAGATTCATATGCTTTGAAGCAAGCTTGCACGGCTTAAAAAAGCGGGGGGGTGTAGGTTGGGCGGGGGCCGCAGCCCCCCCCATTTGCAAACACTCAGTGCTGTGCATGATGTTTTTCAAAGATTCATCATGCTTTGAAGCTAAGCTTGCACGGTTAAAAAAGAGGGGTTGGGGGGGGCGGCAGCCCCCCAATTTGCAAACTCAATGCTGCATGAATGGGTTTCAAAGATTTCATCACAATGCTTTTGAAGCAAAGTTTGCCGGATTAAAAAGGCGGTGGGGGTTGGGGGGGGCGCACACAGCCCCCCCCCATTTGCAAAAACTCAATGCTGCTGAGTGTTTCAAGATTCATAGCAGGAAGCATGCTTGCAAGGCTTAAAAAAGGGGGGTTTGCACGGCTTTCAAACGGCGGGGGCTTGGGGGGGGGGGGGGGGGGGGGGCAGCCCCTCCATTTTATAGTATATGCTATGTACTGTATGTTATACATATATAATATATAATATATAATACATAATACATAATATATAATATATAATATATAATATATAATATATAATATATAATATATAATATATAATATATAATATATAATATATAATATATAATATATAATATATAATATATAATATATAATATATAATATATAATATATAATATATAATATATAATATATAATATATAATATATAATATATAATATATAATATATAATATATAATATATAATATATAATATATAATATATAATATATAATATATAATATATAATATATAATATATAATATATTATATTATATATATATATATATCACATTGCAAACTAAATATTTTACGGTATATGATGTATTATATCATAAATTAAGATCAGGGATTGCGAGACCACAGGACGAGAGGACCGCAGAACCAGAGGACCACGGGGACGGGACCAAGGGGACCACGGGACCAGGGGACCAGAGGACTGCGGGACCAAGGGAACAACAGGACCAGGGGAGCAGAGGACCACGGGACCAAACGACGGGACCAAGGGGACCAGGGGACCAGAGGACCAGGGACCAGAGGACCAGGGGACCAGAGGACCAGGGGACCAGAGGACCGGGGGGGGGGGGGGGGATGAGCCACACCTTTTAAAAAAAGGAGGCCCGAGCCACACCTTTTATAAAAAAAAATCCCTGGCCCCTGTTGTCTTGCGAAAGCCAGGCCCAAAAAAAACATTTAAACCTTTTGCCACCCAACTTTCGTCTCCGTGCATGCGATTCATAAGAACAGAACTGTAGTCTGGACAAGAATCTCGGATGTTAGCATACTGGGATGAATACGGGGGGTGATGGG